CAAATCCCAACACTGGAGGAGCCTGTAAGGAAAGGGAGATTTCCTGCAGAATCCTACAAATCCTCCCGTGCAACCTTACACATTCCAGCTGTTCCTCTGAAAGGATGGCTTGAAGGGATTTCAGAATGTGCTCCAACAACAGACCCTCAGCAGTGACTTCTGCCATTAGGAAGCCTATCCTTGCTGTCCGCCATACAGGGACCCTCATGCAAGAGCTGGGAATCTAGCACAAAGAGGGAGTAGGAAAGAAGAAACAGAGTCTTTTCTAAAAGTCGGATGTAAGGATAGATTCCACAGGAAAAGTGAGTATCAAATCATTCCACTTTGGGAGGAGGTGGCATTTTTCTATCAGGCTGCTTTTTAAGCTTTAAAGATGCTATGGGAGTTGGAAGAGCTAAGGAGAGGGTAGGGTACATCATAAATGCATAATAATCCTGTAACACGGCTATGACTTGCTGCTGCAGGTAACTGCGTGACAAAAGAGACCAGGCAGGCACACTGTGCCAGTGTGACTGGGACAGTTACCTTCAGCAACACGGGCTCCTCTGCTCCGAAATGCTCTGGTTTTGTTTCAAGGTTTTGCACCTGCTTCCATTGCAACATCTGAGATGCTAAAGTGTCCATGGCAAATGTTCTGGTTTGATCTTTCCATCAAGTAAACACACTGCTTTCATCTGCAGGGCGAAGGAACTGCATTGGAGAAAGCCTCGCCAAGATGGAGCTGTTTGTCTTCTTTGTAGGCTTGCTGCAGACGTTTACTTTTCGACCCCAGCCAGGAGTTTCAGAGTCTGACTTGGACCTTACCGTCCCCCAAACGACTTTCACACTAAGGCCTCAGCCTCAGGCAACCTGTGCTGTCCTGCGTGAATAACCACAGCCTTGCTGAAGAGCAACCCAACAAGTAGGGAAGCTGCTTAGACCCACCTTAGCTATGCTAGAACTCACCACTCCCTATCCTGCCACATCATCCTCTTTCACATCCCCTTCCCACTGTCTCCATCCACTCCCACTCCATTGGTCTACACCACCACAATCCATAGGTTGCTGACCCCCTCCCATGCTGCAAGGAGGTGCATATAATCAATCAGAAACCATGATAGTGATTGACACACACTTCTTCTCAAGACAGACCGTGCATGGCGGCAATGGAGGCACCAAGGAGGTGGTCTGGTGAAGGGGATGCAGCCCATGAGCAGTAGATGTGACACTCAGGCTCTCATGGCAAAGCAGTGAAGCTCGTATCACAGAAATCTGCCCAAAATCCTGAGGAAAGATGCTCTGCTGTTTGCTGGAAGCCACAGAAATACACTGTGGGTCACACACTTGAATCATCTGTAGGTACCTCCTGAACTTTTTTGAGCTCTCTAATTATCCATAGCTTCTAGCAAAATCCTGCCAGCCTAGGCAGCAAAGTCAAACGCTGAGAGTCCAAAACCAGATCAATTCATGTACTTTCAGAACAAAGTTTTTTCTGCCTTGGAACGGCGTTTCCTGAAAGATTCCCAAAATCTGGAAACTCATTTAGACAAGTAAGTGCTGTTACCACCAAGTTCAACACTGCAGAAAGTCACGAGATTTGTACCAGCAACCAATCATAAAAGGCTAATGATACAGAAAATAAACGAGACCCATTTCTAGTTTTATGGATCTGTCTTTCCTGACCTTGTTAAATAGGAATAAACACTGTTCCTCTCTTCAGACCTCCTGGGTAATGTTAAGAGCCAACATCAGCAGTGGTATTTGGGATGGTCTGGCCATTGGAACCAGCCATGCAATTTCCTTGCAAATGGTGTCTAATTTCACAGTGCTTATATTGCACACACACGCACAAGAAAAATTGGGATCAGGGATTAGATGAGACCTGGTTTTGGTCATTTTCCTTTCTTCTGTAGCTCTGTCTGGCTGTTTTCCCTGTCTGTAGCACTCTTGTCTGCCATCATGTTCTACAATCTTATATCAGTTAATGTATAGCTCAGGCAGTTTTTCATCCATTTATCTGCCTGTGATTTGCCACTTCTCCTTACGCATTTTCTTATCATGTGCTTTACCATATTTTTGTTTCCCCCTTCATGGGAACCAAATAAAGTTTTAATCCCATGTCCTCATTAGATTTCATATGCCTGCCACCCAACTTCACATTACAGAGAAATGCAAATGCCATGAAAGGTTGATCCTGACACCAAAGTGACAACGAATATTGTAAGCTTTACTTACATCTCATGGGTGAGAGGTTCTCCATACCCTTATCCTACTTAAAAATGGCTTAACAGGAGACCTTCTATATCTGCAGAGTGGTTCCTCCAGGGCAAAGAGCTTTTCCTTTGTGCTTAGCTATAGCCTACTAGTCAGTCCTGGGGATAGCCTTGGGTTTTCGCTTTTAGGTCTTCAACTCTTGCTTGGAGAGGCTGAATGAAAAGTTGCCACCACAGCTTCACTGATGCTGGGCTGTCCCTCTGCTTAGTGCCTTGGTCTCCGAGCCTCTCACTTCTTGCTCCCCCAAAGCATCACCTGCTGGCAATGTCACTCTTGAGGAGTGGTGGCAGCAGGATGAGGTCTTCTTCAGGGAAGGTGGGGAGGGATAAAGCAACTGAGGAGCAAGCCACATATCAATTCAATGAAGGAAGTCTTGGCCTTGCCAAAATTAAAAAAAAAAGACTTTTCCCTTTGGCTTCAGAGAGCTCAGGACTGTTCCTGCTCTAGCCCCCTCCAAAAGTAACATGAACTCCAAACAGACATGGCAACATCTAGTGCTCCAGAGGACAAAACTGGGCTGGGTTCAAATCTGCATGAATTCACTGGTGGAAGCTCAGACCTGACCCCTTGTCATGGGCTTTTAGGGCCTTGGCTTCGAAGGTGAGAGATGGATCCCTTCCTACACATCATAGCAGCCTTCAGAGCCTGCTCTTTTTGGACATCACCTCCTGCACTGGCACTCTCTGGCAGGCAGAGCCGAGCCTGCGGCACTGCTGGCCGCGTGCATACATTCAGCAGCCTGTCCAACACCCAAGAGCCAGGAGCTATCAGGTGCAAATGGCCAAGGAAAACAGGTTTCTCTGATTCCTTTGAAAAGTGCATCCTACTTGTGCCTTGGTTAGCACATGGATGGATGGAAGTGCTCACTCCCCAGCGCACTGAATTATACAGCTGAATGTATCTCCGCAAAAGAGAACGCCTGCCTCCCCCCGCTTATTCCTTCAGCCAAACGATGGCAGAACATTGCTTATGACTCAGCTTTGTATTTATCAAGCACAAAACATTGGCTCTCAGGGGTGGAAACACCATTTCCACACGGCTCAGTGGCCCTGAGGGTCTTCTCTCTGGCTGCAAAGCATGTTTGTGTGTTGCAACACACAGACCTGAATTGAAGACAAACATCTCAGGGAGAGACAAGTGGCTCAATTTTTAAAATAAGATCTGAACAAATCCGGCTCCCACTGTGTCTGTGGCTTGTTCCACGTGCAGCTGGCCGGGAAGCACGTCCCAGAGCCCAGCCTGCCATCCCTAGCACCGCATGATGCTGGGACCAGGGGCTTCTGCATTCAGAGGGGGCAATGAGCAGGTGCAAGGATTGCAGCAACTGTATGGGTTGGTACAACGAGGGCTGTCTTGTATCTGCAGCCCCTCTGCACAATGGCCAGAGCAATAAACATCGAGCAAAACATAATTTCTATTTTCTTTTTGCCACGAGATGGCACCACGATCCCTTTGAGTCGCAGCCAGCCCAACCCTGCACCCCTCCTGGGGCAAAGCGCTCTGCCAGACACCGATCCAGGGCTGTCCCAGGAGGGCAGAGCTAAGCCTTGAGCCTTCATGCACCCCTAGTCAAACTGCATTCACCTGCAAGCAAGGCTGGGAGCAAAGACACATGCACTATTTATTTACCATTAACCTGGGAGAATCAGGTAGTATGCAGGGAACAGGAGGAATCTTCTCCTCCCCATCCTACAGCAGACGAGGATCACTCCCAGGGGTTAACCAGCTCAAACTCTTTGTGGGACAGTGGCTCAATCCACCTCCCATTGCCATCCTCTCCAATCCTTCACTCAGCATTTCAGAGCAAGGAAGAAGCCAGTTGCTGTAAAAAAGTCCTATTGCTTTCGCTGATGAGGAGATGTGATGACGTTTCATCTCTAGCCATCAGAGAGGAGGAGAAGAGCAGATGAGAATGTTGGGGAAAGAGAGGGTCCTAACAAACCTCACAGAAAGCTGGGGGAAGTGAGGAAAGGGGAGATGGACAGGTTTTCTGTCCCTTCGCCTGGATCTGCCCAGCTTCTCTGCTGCTTAAGGAAAGTGAGTTTTAGAAACATCTTTGCAATGTTTGCATGCTTGCTTGTTCACATATGGTGCTCTGAAGAGAAGTTGTGCTTCTGTATCTGAGCTACCTTTGTAAAAATACAAGAGTGGGTCTTCACTTGTATGGGGAGAGCTGTTAAGTCCCACATCAGGGCAGGCGGAGCAGAGCCTGTACCAAGAAAGGGCCAAAGACTCCCAAAGAACCACGCTAAGGTCCCTCAAAGCAAGGGGAACCTAACAAGTCCAGCTCTTGGCATCTGGGATTCAAAACCAGAAGTCTGGAAAGTGTTGGAAGAGCATCTATCAGACATAGCAAGAGCAGGTATCTGGGAATAATTTACCCTGTGTGCAGCAGGGAACAGGAAAAGGGCAGGGATTAGATGATGACCACATTTGTATCTAGTATTTCTCTCCAAGTGAAGAAATTATTCACTCTTCAGAAGCCTCCTTTCCCAGAAGCTCAGAACTAGAATAACTTTCTTATGTCATGTATTTGATGTGTAAAGTAGTGGCTGTCCTGTCATTTCCAGTCACGTATCTGGTTGGAATTTTCCAGGTAACCTCACCCACCAGCCCTCCTCTGCTTCCCAGAAAAATATTTGTCCAATAGATATTTTAAGCATATAGCCAGTACTTGGAAGGCTTTGAGCAAGAAGACACAACTTGTATCTACTGCACAGGGATCTGGTTTCTTCTTTGTGCGTCTGCTACGCTCTGCAGAAAACAATTATGTGGATTTTTCTCAGTTCAGAGCCTTGGGCTTGTTGGTGCAGCACAGCACAGACACACTGTGGATGGGGTCTCATGGTGAGTCCAGCTTCTGCAGTTGTGTCCAGCTCAGATTCTTTGACCCCAGGTGGAGGCTTAAAAGTAAATTTCTGGATCAAGCCTGTGAAGATGAAGAGCTCCATCGTGGCAAGACTTTCTCCAACACAGTTTCTCCGCCCTGCAATGTCAAAAGCATGGCTGTTGGTGGAGTGATTGGGAAAGCAGTGGCTCAACCTGACACCTCTTCCCTACTACTTGGTAGCAATAGTGTGAGGAGCAGTATAGACCTCAGAAAGGCAAAACAGTGTGGCATGATATGCAGCAGCCATGACGGTTGGTCTCCTATAGGCATTTGAACAGGGCTGTTTCACTCTGAGCCTGCACGGAATTGATCAGGGACAACCTAGAAACCAGCCTTCCCAAGGCAGAGGGAAGATGGAACTCTTGCTTGAAGGCATTGAGTCTTCCACAGGTCCCAGTGGTCTTAAAACATCAGTGCCTCTCAGCATGGGCTGAGGGGCTGTTTGCGAGTCATCGAAACCCAAAGTGGGTGTTTCTAAACCATTCCCACCACTGCTGTCTGTGCTGTTCCCAACAGAGGCTTCCACTCGGCTAATATCTTCTGAGGGACTCTGAGAACTCAGTGGCCGGGGCAGGATCCAACGCTTTCATTACCTGTGGAGAAGGGCAGGAACGCTTTCTTCTTTACAAAGTTCCCATCTGCATCAAGGAAATGGTTGGGGTTGAACTCATCTGGTGTCTCCCATTGCATTTTATCCAGCAGCACAGAGGTGAGCAGAGGAATCACCGTTGTTCCCTGCAGCACAACCAGGCTCTGCTTTAGCACGTGTGGATGTAGCCAATTTCTGGCTTCGCCCATTCAGCCGTGTAACTGTTCCTCCCTTTGGGCTGTGTCTGGAAGCAAACTTCCACCTCTGAAGAACTGATTTCTGGGCTTGTACATGACCCTCAGTTAGCACGGATACCCAGTTCACTGGAATTACTGACTAATATGTGATTAAACAACAATAGTCATTGGCTGTTCCTGAGTTAGGAAGCAGAAGACAGACGTGGGCCAGGCTTCCTTCCTGCCCAGCTGCTCTCTGCTTGCCTCAAGCAGCCAATGAGACAATGCCATGGTACTCCAGAGGCAGAACTGCTCTATAGGGTATGAATGGCAAAGGAGAGTGAAGAGAACAAGGAACAGACTTCAGATTACAAAGACTGACTTATGGGAAATGGGAAGTTGTGTGCGTAACCCCGAAGTCACATTGGCTTTGGTCTGGACTCGGAGGAGATGGGGGATTAGGGAACTGGCTCTTCCCCACCAAAAGCCCTGTGCTTCAAGCTCCCCCACTCCTTGTGACATTCTGCCCTGTGGGTCACCGGTGCGCTGCACCCCCCCTCTTCATCTGGAGAGCACAAGTACCTTGGGGATGAAGTAGCCTTTAAAGTGGGTGTCAGCAGAGGTGCACCGTGGAACATGTGGCAGGGGGATGACAAATCTCTGCACCTCATGAATCACTGCGTTGGTAAATGGCATGTTTTTCCAGTCCTCAAAGGCAGGCAAGCAGAGAGGGCCAAGATTTTGCTCAATCTCTGCGTGCACCTTTTCTGGAAGGCAAAACAAAGGCATAAAGTGAGTTTCCTCCAGTGGTAAAGCACCTCCAAATCCCACCTCGTGATGACTGCTGGTTGGGCCATCCCAGGCAGGAGGTTGCCCAGTCCCTGGGAGCAGAGAGAGAACCCCACAGTTCCTTTGGTCCTGAATGGCAGCATACAACACTTGGACAGAGGTGGACAGGTTCCAGCTGCTCAGAGTTTGGATGCGTGAGAGGCTAAGCAGCTTTTACAGGTGAGCGGCACTTATAAAGTCACTGCACCCTACGTAAGAAAAGTAACACCATAAAGGTGTCTTACTTTGAATCTCAGGGTACTTCAGCAGCAGCAGGATGGCCCATTGCAACGTCGCGGAGGTTGTCTCAGTGCCAGCCATGAGCAGGTCGAGCGCAGAGGCCAGTACATTTGCATCGTGAAAAAGTGTATTGTTTTTATTTTCCTCCTTTAGGGAAATACAAAGAAAAAAAAAAAGATTAGCACAGAAAGAGACAACTAGGACAGGTGACCTAGTCTTCAGCGACATCTCAGTGGGATGCATGTGAGTTACAAGTGCCAAGATGCACCACATTGATGTTTCAGTACAGAAATGCTTCAGTTTTCAGCAGAAATATTTTCGCACTTGAGATTTTGCCCCCCAGAAGCGAACGAATTGGAAAATTCATTGATTTTCCAATATCACAGGACATTTATCTGCTCTGGGCAGTGGTCATCTGATGGGCTCAAGACTTCCATCTGCTGCCTATGGATCCTGAGAAGATGGAAAATCGATGAGAGGTGCAGGCCCATGCCTTCCCAAGTCAGGAAGCTGGAATCTGTCTAAGTGTATGCCAGGCCCTCCTAGGGGGCACAGGAAAGTCGTGAAGGCCCAGGACACCACTGACACATCAGCTCTGCTGTCCCTGCTTCACGCTGCTGATGGGAAATACCTTGCCCCTTCCTATGTGCAACAGGAACACGGACAAGTCATCAAGCCCAAGTACCCGTCCTGCCCACCACCCGTCTCAAGTACGCGGATGCAAACAGTTGGAGAAAAAGGGCAAAGACCGTCCGCTCCTTCCTTGCTACACTCCTACGCTACCATTCCTCTTGGCAAATCCGCTACGTGGGAGCTGGTGATGTGTTTGCACAAACGCAGCAGGAACTTGTGCATCTCTGCAGCTGCGAATCTGCTGCTTCTTCCCATGCCCATAGGGAGGGATGTGCCTGCTGGAGTGCGTTGGGAAAAGGACATTCCCTCTCTCGCACTCCAGCAAGGAAGGCACTGGAGCTGACACCTGAGGACAAGTTTTAGACATTTGTGCAATACGGTCTAGTTAATGATTTCTTGCTTTTCCTTCAGTATACAGTATTTAACATATTAGAATAGGAGGATGTTTACCCCAAATTTAAGTATTTTCACATAGACCATAGTAGAGCACGTTCATTAGACAAGCAGCACGGAGCATCTCTGTGTAAGGCACCGCACGAGGAATTGTCAGATTGTTAAAATACCTCTTGTTTTCATACTAATGCATCGATGTAGCTCGTCAGGCTGTTCTCATTAATTCTTTCTTTGCTTTCCTTGATGCACTTCTTTAAGATCACACACACCTCTTCTACTTTTTTCAGTATCATCTTGTGAGGTTTGAGGAGAAATCCAAGGAACGGGTAGAAATTAAATAACTGAAAAGAAAAAAAAAGGAAAAATAATCACAGAAAAAAATCCTAAATTCACCCATTACCTTGTAAAGCTCAAGTATCATAATGGAGAAATCATTTATGTGAGGAACCCAATGACATGTGATTGGAGTCTCTTTTTTGGTAACTAAAAAATTTTAATGTGCAAAAATGCCTCCTCTTATTAAAAGTTCTCTACAGAAATGAATGGAGCCTATCAGACTTGTCTAGACAGAGCCTATAAACACGAATTAAAAAAAAAATACAATTAAGTGAAAGTGATAGTAAACTCATGAAACAATGAAATTACATTTTTAAAGAGGTAATAAAGCAAAACGACAAAGCATTACACATTACGCAAAGAAAACTCCAATGTTTAGCAAGCCAAAATACTTACGTTTTAAAGTTGTTAGATCATCATTTTTAACTTTCACATGAATTATAAATCAATTACACTCAGTTCTCAGCATCGTTAAATTTCACAGCACAATAAACAGTTGCATTTTATGTGCAGGGGGGTTACTTACACCGTTTCTCAATGTTATAAATAAACCAGCTGGAGAATAAGATTCACAAATCTCTTGATCTTGCAAACTGGTTATAATTCTTGCTGTTTTCTGCAAAAACTAAACCTGCCATAGAGATTAAAAGAAAAGGGATGTTCTACTACTGTAAATTGTAACTATCGTAAACAGTTCTCATTCAAGGTAGTAAATTCATTGGCATCTTTTTCTGTATCAGCTTTTTGGATGACTGTTTCAATATTGCCTTAAGTAACTAATACTCTGTTCTTTGTGATGGAGGATGAAGTTTAACATGAGCTCCTGGCTCAGATGAGAACCTCTTAGTTGGAACACTCTTTTTATGCAGCTCCATTGAGCAGGTATTGATTTAATGCCACAATAGGAGGTATGAGAGGTCCACGTATAATGTGTGCAGCTCTGTACTTTGTACTACTACTCTGTAACTTCACTAGTTTCTTAATCTTGTAGCAAGAGACCAAAACCTAGTAACCCCCAAATACACCTGCAATTGTCCCTAAGACAAGAGGTTACTTTTGGGATGTTCACACAGCATCGAGCAGAAAATAACTGGAGTGAGCTTGGCTATTTTCATTTGTACATCCACAAATTAAGTCAGTATTTAAATAGTTTTATCCCTGGTGTGTTTTTAAAGAAAGAAACTCTGTCCATGCCTTCCAAGAGGGACCTGACTCCCTCCTGTCTCTTCTAACTGAGCCTCGATAGGACTGAAAATACGAGGGAGTAGAACATGCGGGCATTTTGTGTTTTATCTGCGTACTGATGGAAAAATACTGACAAAACCAAAAATCAGATAAACAGAATCTTTCTGAACTCTTTGCCAAAAGTGCTGCAAACATTTTTGAGACACACTCCAGGAACATTTTCCTGCAGTGACTGTGAAACACCAAAGACAGAAGGTTGCCCAGATCCCAGTACTGTATTAGGGTCTATTTCCTCAAGGGAGACTACAATTTGCCATAAACCATAAAGTTTGCTAAATAAAGTGACTAAAAATAATAACATAAAAGACAGTGTCTATAGCACTTCTATGAACTTCCACTGATGCTGCTGGATGCTGCCCACTCCAAGTCTCACCATGCTGGAAGCCTCAGTTACTGCACTTTCTGGCTGTAGAAGAATCAAGCACATCCCTTCTGCTGGCATGGTCACATCAGCATCTCCGCCCAGTGCCACCACGTGATGTTGGACTGTCTTCACAGGAGGATTTCACGAAGGAGGAAAAACCCAAAACAAAGAATCTCACCCCTGCCCATGGCAGGTGGGTTGGATTAAATGATCTTTAAAGGTCCCTTCCAACCCAAACCACACTATGATTCTATGAATCTTACATTTCAGTAACCTAAAGATTCTCCAAAACCATCCAGCAATAGTAAATTGGGTTGACTTACCAACTCTGATGAGATACTGGAGCATCTCAGCACAGAGGGTAACTTACACGCAAGAACGGAAAGCCAAGAAGGTGCATAACTTCATCTATGAGTCTTAGAGTGAGAAACGTTCGGTCTCCATAATCAAACCTTCTCCCAAAGAGAATAGCAAAGGTGATGTTGGTGGGAGCCATATTCAAAAATCGTAACTGGAAAGGTCCACCTAGAAATGAATAAAATCATAACTGTATTGGTCATTTCTGGAGCAACCCAGATGTCTTCACAGTGGCTTTATAAAGTAGCATGAAACACCTGATGCCATCTCCAGCTCACCTTTGAAAGATTTGATCAACTCGATGAGAAAGTGAAGCTCCTCAAGCATCCATTTTTCTCCAAGATGCTTCCCCATGCCAAGATCTCGCATGGTGGCTATGGTGAACCGCTGTGTCGTCCTCCAGAGCTCTTGAGAAGAAAAGAACACACCTACAGAGGGATTGCATGCCCTGTTAGCTGAGGCAATAGAGGATTTTCTCAGAAACACCAAAAGCGCAGCTGAGGAGCGCAGGTATTACTTAACCTGGAGGAGACAGCTTGGGAGAGGACTGGGGGGCTCTGTGGGGGGATGGCTTGGGAAAGCACTGCCCCAGGAGGCAATATTCTAAACAGTCGGGTGCTGTTCACACCAAAGCTTTTGGTTTGACTTGTTTATAGCTTTATCTTGTTGCGGCCATACACAGTAAAAAGTTCTGCACAGGCTATTTGTCTCAGGCTGACTTGTTTTTCCCTAGAAAAACGACTCAGCTGTTTCAGAGAGCAAGGCTAGGAGCAGATGACACCGCTCCATCCCTGTCAGGAACAGCACAAATGATTTCACTGAACAACTTGCGTTTTAGAGGACGAACTGTATACTGCGCAGAGGAACAAGGAGGGGTGGCAGGGAGGCACCTTTGCTTATGGCTGGGGAACACCTCCCAGCTGGATAACCCATCAGCCAAAAAAAGCGCTCAGTCAAGAGGGCACGGAGGTGTTTGGGTACAATTCAGAAGTCCTCCCTTCCCAGGAGGGCTTCCAGGGCTGAACATAGTCTACATCTTCATATGGTGGTTGGGAAAGTCGCGCAGTGTACTCTTCCTCACGCTGGGCCTCTTAAAAACAAGATGAAAAAAAACCCCACACACTGTATGCATTATATACATATTAGGTCATCAAATCTTTCCCTTTCAGCCCCGGATTATTTCCTTCATTGTTTTTCAATGTCTAGTCTTGGGCAATGTATTACTTTTTAACATGCGATTCAGAAACATGCCAAAAATGTGTTTACAGAAGTAATTGTTTGAGGTACAAACAGCCCGTGCTATTGCACTCTTGCCAGTTCTTGCAGTCTTTATCATGAGTCATGCGTGATCCATGCTTTGTCTGAACTCCCAGTAACTGTAGAAAAGAGATTGCATAAGGACCTCAGCCTTCGCATTGTGAAAAATAATTTCCTTCTCTCTATGCTGAAAAAAAGCCCTCTTGAAATGTGACTCAAGTGCCACTAAAAGCAAAAAAAAACCTGATAAGGCAAATATAAAGATTCCCAGAAGTATTTTTCTTAAGAGAACAATCAACTGCCCCCAAGTCCCAAAAAACCTAGCCCTCGACGATAAGGACACTGCTCAAGACTCTTAAATACTGTTGCAATTGAAGCGACATGCTTGAGAAACAGCACAGCAAGGATGTCCTTATCTTTTCAGCCTGCCAGTACCATTTCCATGTTGGATGTGATAGAATATGGGTATAGCTGGTCTGTCCGCAAACACATCCACCGTGTTCAGAAGGGCGTCCTTTACTGCCGGTCAGCACCACCACCTTCTGAAACCCCAAATAGACGGTGAACACGGGGCAATATTTCTCTGAAATCCAGAAGGAGAGAAAAATCAGAGTGTGGAGGTCATCAGTGGGAGCAGTATGTCCTGCTGGGTTGGATGAAGAGCGGCCTTCCCTCCTCCTTCTGTGGCCAGAAGGGCTGGAGAGATGCCAGAGATAAATCCCTGAGACACTTAAATGAAAGAGGAATCAAAGCAAATAAACACTGGTCTGTTCAACCCAACAGCTTCCATAAAACCTCTGTTTTTCTGAGCTGGTTGGGGTCCATTTGGCGCAGTGGGTTAAAAGAGGCAGAAGGTAACAAGACATTTTGGGCACCACCAGCACATAAAAGCATCACCAAGATCTGCCAGACAGCTATGGAGCAACTGCTGATCGGGCAGGCTGTAACACTACCATCCACCGCACAAGGATGAAAGAGAAGAGCTGCCCTTAGTTATTAGAAAAAGTTAAATAAAAGCTTTGTTGCAATTAATGCAAAGAGGTATATAATATGATCCACCAAGGACAGACATATGAAAGCATAAGAAACCATTGCTCTTTCAACTGGCCTTAGAAAATTACCACAATACCACACTCTGCTTTTTATTTCTGCTGCAGCATAGCTGTCAAGCCAATGCACAGCAGGACTTTATCATGAGATCTGAGATACCGGGTGGTAGGAGCTCTCTGGAGGCTCACCAACATGGTCCTGCCAGGCCTTACATGGAATTAAGACTTGACTGAGAGCAACAGAGTTGAAACTGCATAAAGCTACCGTGAGATCGAGCTTGGTGTCCCATGAAAGGAGACCAATTCTGGCGCTGTAAACCAGAGGAGGCTCTAAAGTTTAGCAACCCCTTCTGCTGTACCAAAGCAAAGGGGTAGCCCAGGCAGAGACTAATCAGTGCTTCAGCAATATAGCCAGATTTGTTGAATTTATGCAAAAAAATAGTTCACAGGACACATCTCTTCTTCGGGTTGTGCTATTTTAATCCCCGTTCTCATGAAAAACTGGCAACACAAATCAGAAATACAAGCTATTTTGGCAAGCACAATCAAGCATCCATCTTGTAGTTTGGTTACATGGACACTCAAATATTTTATTTTACAACACAAGGAACATGCCAAAATTTAGGTCCATCAGTTCGATCCATCCCTCATTGAAGGGGGGTTGGAACTAGATGATCTTTAACATCCCTTCCAACCCAAACCATTCTATGATTTTATGATCTGATGTGGATACTCATAGTTTTCAATGCATGAGTAGTTCTCACGTAAGAGCTGCTCATATTTAACATCACCCTCTGCAGAGTTGGGATGTAACAGTTTCCTTGGTCATTGTGAAACATTCAAAACATTTTTTTAAAAAATGCATTGGCACCAAAGATAATCTCAGAACTGTCACTAGAAGAGAACTTTTAATAAGCAAACACTGACATTCAACACCCTAGAAACAAAAGACGCTTGTTCTTACCTTCATTAGTGGGCAGGTTTGCTTCATTTCCAAAGCCTAGCTCAAATTCTTCTGCCTGCAATAATTTCCCAGATCCTGGGAGTCCCATATCTGCTTTATTATTAGGCATCAATCATGAAATTTCTCTCAAGATTTCCTCTTCATCCCTGTCTTCCGTTCTCTTCATCTAACCTCTTCTGCACACAGACAGCTCTTTACTTCTGCCTTCTAGCTCTTCACCTTACAAATGCTGATCCCAAAATAATCTTTCAGGATAGACGAGCATTGCTCATCCCGTGGCACAGCGAAGAAGAAGTAGGTCCTGCAGGCGAAGAGACATCCTCCAGGCCATGGGTCAAGCTGGGTGGACAGCCGGTGGACAGTATCCCTCCTTTTCCACCTTCTGGTGTTCTTGCAGAGAATCATTTTCTCCCAGTGAAGGGAAACAGAACTGGACAATCTGCACATGGCCAAAAAATTGGGACCCATTTGTTGTCTCTGCAGATTCAGAGCTCTGTTGCTCATCTCTGCGCTCTTCCTATTTATCGATACTTCAAATCCGGGCTGTCCTAAAGACCTATATGGTACGCAGACTGAAAGCTGCTCCTCCTCACATCCGGGTAACCCTCTAGCCTGGCTTGAATGATTCATCAGCCCAGCGTAAAACACCTAACAAGGCACTTTTACAGTTCTCACTCTTCCTTACTGCGTGCTACATTATAGAAAGCTCGATAAAACGCAGAGTTGCTGACCTCCTCTTGTTTATTTCCCCATCAGAGGCTGGTGAAAAACTAATTCACTCCTGCAAACTCCAAAGTCGTAATTCAGTGTCATGCCTCCCTCTTTCATGAGTGGGTCTTTTAGTGAGCAGTGTTTCTTCCTGCTCCCCATCCAGTGTTAATTGGTACCAATTTCACTCTATACACAACAAAAGGGATATGAAAATCGTGTCTTGGAGAACTAGATTATTGGAACAGTACAAATGTGGAAGGCTTTGTAAAAGATCTGCTGTTCCCTCTGGTTTCTGGCAGCATCTAACAGCGTAAGACCTGTCAGAGACATTAGTGGAAACACACATCGCTTTTGTAAAATTACCCTGATCTCACAAACAATGCAATGGTCCCATAGGCAGGAAAAGGGCATTTGACATCTCTTTTTTGAGCCATTTTAGATGACAAGGATTTTGTCCTGCTCCATACTGTGATATGAGACAGTACCAGCCTTGAAGATGCTTTGGGACCGTTCCAAGGTGCAGAAAGGTTCACCCTCAGACGGGACACAACGCGCATTCAAACCTGGACTCTCCCATCCATCTCAGGCACGCGACGGAGGGACTGGAGAGGACGTGATCCCAGCTCATTCCCAGTCCCCTCTCAAACCGTGCACCGCCCAGGAACCATCCATCCATCCCAAACCCACTTGTGCTACAAACAACAGCATCTGTGGTAAGAGCAGGAGACTGGGAGTCTGGATATGTGCGTTTGCGTCCCTGCTTGGACAATGACTCGTCTATGCGGGTTTGAGCAGCGCAGCGCAGGGCTGTGCCCCGGCACGGCCCCGGAGCGTGTGTCGGGGCCGGGCTGTGAATGCAGCTGTTGTGCCGCAGCCCCGCTCCCCTGGGGCTGACACGGCTCCCACCCTTTCGCTACGGTCATTTCTGGGAGGTCTTGTGGGCTCCCTGCAGACAGGAGGCGTAGGAATGGCATCGTCTCGCACCGTAAGAATTACCCACAGCAAGAGGCAGAGAGATGTCACTCTGACACTAAAAATGTCTTTACGATTCCCAAAGAGAAGGGAGCAAGGCAGCAGTCAGCCCACCTCCCCACGCACGCCCAGCCTGCCCCGTGGCACGATGGGTTACTCATTACCCACGGGGTGAAGCAACCCGTGAAAGAGGCAAAGCTGGGCAAAGATAACAGCATCTTAGATGGCCTGCAAAACCATTTTCACCTTAAAGATTTAAGTTAAAAATTAAAATGAAAATTAATCTTTATCTAGGAGTAAATGATGCCTTCAAAAAAAATCAAACCTCCCCAATCAGGACAGGGTCATGTCAAGTCACAGGAGAAATTACAGGAAGGGAAGCACAGAAAGAAAAACCCTTACACAGAGTGCCCTGGGACCAAACCACTCATGGATTTGCAGTTGGGAAAGGAAGTCATTCCTTGGGCTGTGTATAATTATTCGGAGATCAAGCCCTTCCAAACCAGCCACTCTCGGGCAGAGAGGACTAGAAAGCAGAAAGCGATGTCTCCTTCCCTGCATCTGCCCTTGGCACCAGCAATGGGCACGTGGGGCTTAAATTCAGACTGTGATAATCACCGTTTCTGGATGTATCCTACTGTAACTTTGCATAGGAAGGGGCCTCGGGAACAGCATGCACTCGAGCCCTGCTCCTGCAGGAATCAGGAGGGAGCGCCTTCGAAACCTTGCACCGTGGTACTCAGGGCTACGTTCAGAAGGTGGATAAATCCGTATAGCATCACCTGGCAGTTTTGAGAAGCATCATGTCACCCACCAGCACGTAGCGCAGCTGGACACGGAGCGCGCTGGGAGCGCTCTGCAGCCCCGCAGCAAAGCCCCGGTCACACCGCTGCGTCCCCAGCCGCCCCGTCGGTGGGCAGTATAACGAATTCACCTCCCTCCCGGGCAGCTGGTGGCTTTGTGCAAAAAACAGGAAAGAATTTAACTTCTGCTTTAGAGAAAAGGCCTCAGTCCCAAAGCAGGGTGCCCAATTCCTTTATTCTAGACTATTTCTTGAGGCGATTGCAATGGAATAACCTCACGGCAGAGGCGAAGGCTCCGTCCCCTCCCCTCCCACGCTTTTTTTTTTTGAAGCTGCTGCACCTGACGAGCGCTGGGCTGAGACGTTCAGTCTCTCCGGGGACCAGCCTAGCAGAAACTCTGCTCTCAGACCCTTCACTCTTTTCTGAGGCTTCAGGGTTTGCTCTTCATCATCACACTGAGCTCGTCCTTCCCCAGTACCCCTGGAAAACCCAGCTGCAGCAGATTTTAAAGCAGGATTTGTTGTACTTTTTACATTCTCCTTCCCTGGCATTCTCATCCCATCTGCCCAGTCTCTGATCCTTGAAGCTTCAATCCCAGTTTTTATCCGGTGTTTAATTATGCACAAACATGACGTATTTAAGATAAATACTTTTCTGTTCCTCTCTTTCTGCATGAAGATTTCAGCTTCTCCCCTTCCCTTTTCTCTCTGAAAAAAGCTGCTTCCCACCCCGATCCCGATGGTACCACGGGAAGCCCGGCCCTGCCTGCACGAGTTTACCTGCACAGAAAGCTCTGTGCATCCCAGCTGGTGCCTGGACAGCAAAGCCACGTTGCCATCCCCAGCACTGCGGGAACAGCCACCTTTGCTGCCCACACTGCCCCGTACCAGCCTGGGGTGCATCCTCACGCCACCGCTGCCTTCCTGGCATCCACAGAGCCTGAGACCGGCTCTTCCAAAGCAAACACAAAATCACGGGCAGGCAAAGCCTCCCACCTCTGCATTGCCACACACCAAACAAAAGCCAACCTCACCAAGATGAACAGGTTGGGTCTCCAGGTTGGGTTTTTCAGGTTGCAACCTTGAAAACATCATTCCCTCTCTCTTTCCTGCCCTGCCCATGAGTGGGCTTTACCTCCCCACCTCCACACAGCCCCCCTCAAGCGAGTAGGAGAGCAGAGAGCACTGGGGGTCCGTGCCCTGGGAAGCCAGTGGGATGAGCAGGAGGCTGCAGGACCCGCGCAGAGGGCAGATGAGCCGGGAAGGAGCCAGCAGCCCTCCGGCGTGGGTGGGCTCGGCAACACTTTCTCCGCTCCACAGCCGCAGCTTGCAGGCGGCCACAGGAAAAAAACTAAGCCCTTCTCCATTTATTTTTCTTGCAAGCTGTGTTTTAAATGTTACCCTGAACGGCCCTTTGAAGCAGCACAAGCTGCCTCGGACTTTTCTCTTCAGCTAATTAACACGTGCCGACAGCCGTGACAGCCTGGTGCAGCGAAGCCAGGGCAGCCCTGCGCGAGGTCTGGTCTAAACCCTGCTGCCCAAACCCCTTGCACAGCCAAAATGCTATTGACCCTGAAACCAGCAAGCTCCTTGAAGACATTAATCCACGTATAAGCTTTGTCTTCTAGGCTGGAGCTGCCTGTCGGGAACTTGTGTCTCGTAACACAGCTCAGGAGCACCGGCTCTTCCTGTGTTTGGAGAGGTTTGGGGTTTTGTGTTCAGAGCTGCGGGCCAGGCATTTGTCAGAGGAAGGTTAAAGTGCTTAAATGGTGTTAAGTGGAATACAAGCTTCTGCAGCCCTGTGAAGACTGTCTTTTAAAAAGCCCCATCATATTTCTGCTGTGCTCTCAGTTCCTGGGTCCCTCACTCGTTTGAGGGATGCTAGCTGTTCTCCAGCAGCAGCACTTCACCCTTCAATTCAATGTGAAGTGCTCTCCAGCAAAAGAATTGCCATTATCCCTGGTTTATGGAAGGAAAACCTAAATGGAAAAGGGAAAGAATTAGTTCAAAGGCCACATGAGACAGCGATAGAAACAAGAGCAGAATTGCAGTCACCGCTAACAGGTGTACCAAAAAGGGTGACATAGTAAACGTGCCCCCAGCAGACAATAAAGTAACTCAATCTATCACAATTTGGGTATTTTATCATCCACGGAACACTTGAAACATGATTTACAGTTGTAAAATCCAGCCTGTGGTTTTCAACCTGTAGTCTCAGAAGTGGCAACACGGAGCCCATCTCCGCTTGGTCGAGAGCTCTTTCAAACGCACCCAGACCCACCCTGGAAGCATTTTAGGGATTTGCAAATCCTTGGTTCGGAAATAATAACGTCTCACTGCACTGCATCACCAGCCAGAGGGGCACCGCACTCCTTTAGAGGTTACAGATTAATATTTAATCCAGTCAATAACTTTAAGTTAAAATGTAGCAGTTTTATCCGACCAGGTTAACAGTGGGGACAGTTACCAACCTGCAGTATGTGAACGAGGCACTTGCCCATTTTGAAGAAGGATGACAGCACTAGCCAGCTTCATTTCCCTCTTGGTGGCGATTCTTCAGGAACCAGGCAATAAATCCTTACAGATTTGCTCCATAAACCATTAGCCAGTAAAAGCCTAATTGGGTCAGAGACATACGGTCCTGAACCAGTAAAAAATTCAACATCAGTGGCTACAACGTTATTAACCTCACAAAACGCGGATGTATTTCAGAAGCTGTTGGCTGAGCATTGAAAATTGCATCACGTTCAGTCTTCATCAGTGAGACTGCTGCTCTCCTAAGCCAGCAAAAAAGGGAAAAGGCAACACTTTTGCTAATGAAAACTGTTTTTTTCTTGCTATCTTATCAACTATGAGCATGAAGATGGCACAAAAGATATTTTCTGAACAGGCTATTCCCAGCTGTTAGAATAGTTTCAGAGCTCCAAAGCCTTAGTGAAAGAAGAGACAATGGGAAGTGAAGCCAGAAGTAGTCAGCACACCTAACGCATTGCAACTTTATAGTTATGATAATGTAAATGTAGCTGTTAAAATAAAATCTTCTGAATCACTCTGAAGTATTTGTAAGTATTCTCCTTTTTATAAAGGAGAGCCCACTGTAATCCCGAAAAGTATCCCAAGAAGAAATTCCTAGGTCTTTATCTCAGCTCTTGACTAACCCCACAACCAAAGCTGAGCACATCTGTGCAGGCTAGCTGGGCTGTCATCCCAGACCTGTGAACCATGGGGTGTTAATCCCACGTCACCACCATGTCCCCACTATCCAAGCAAGTGAGCGACCTGCAGGAATCACCACTTGGGCCCAGAACTCTTCAGATCAAGGAGCTTCTCAACTCCAAAGAACAAGGGATGTCCTTGGCTTGCCACCACGGTTTAAATTTCATCTCATCTCATTTACTTTGGGCTTCTGCCAAGTGGAAAGGGATTCAGAAGGAGCTGAGCTCTGGGATGAGATGTCTTACAGAAGATGCATCAACTTCACCGAGGCCAACTCTTGTCCCTCTGACATTCACTGACAATTAGTTTACATTACAGCTTGCCATTAACAACAGCTGGAATTTGGGACATGCTGCAGGGGGGCTCAGTCCCCTACACGGGCTCCAATAACACTCACTTTGTCTTTCAGGCGTCCCAATGACGATGTGTCTATGATCTCCTCTGCGCCACATTCGCAGTCTTGCTGGACCAACGGTGAACCGTGCGCTGCCGTCACCGGCTCCACGGGGGATTTCTGAACAAGTGCAGCTACATCCCACGCCCCACTCACACAAAAACACGCGCAAGACTGACACTGGCAGAATTCAGCCCTACTTTGAGTGTTATGGCCTTCAATGACTGCAGGGAAGTGCCTTTACAAGGAGGCTGCTTTCTCATTGCTTCTTAAAAAAAGCCTTTAACATGGACCCTCTTTGGCGTGACTCAGGGCTGCATTTCTAAATCCAGTTTCTCCCATGAAGTTTACTCTGGCTGTTTGGTTGGGTTGCATCCACATGCTATTTTTATTTTTTTGATCATCGAGCCTGTTTACAGCATAGAGGAACAACATGGGAACAGAAATAAAGCTGGGACAAACCCAAAGGAATGAGACCATTAATGGTATTGCCAGCATCTCTGGCTTGAAGAGCAAGAGGCCCTGCAGCTGTGCAGTACCGCAGTGAGACTCAACTCACTACTCCCTCCTGGTTATGTATGTCAAACCTCAGTTGTGTTTGATTTACCCATCATCTGCAAACTTAATACCAAACAGTTAAAATGCCTGCATGTCCTTAAGCTGCCAGCTTCGTATCTGCGGTGCATTACAAGAGAGAATATTTTCTAGAATACAAAGGCTGAGGGACTGACTGCCACAGCAGTATCACTTTTGGCTTCCTTAAATACAGTAATCAAATTATTTTGAACAGTAGCCTACAGCTACTGAATACTTTTCTGTCTCAAAATAGACACAAGCCTCCTCCCACCTTCTGCCATGAGCTTTTTGGTTACTCTGAGGTTTTGGTGGTTCAATCCAGTTTTCTTTGCTATATTCAGTGAGCGCAGCCCATCTGGTTGCTGAGTCTTTGATCCAAGTGCTACCAGCTTATTCTGTGAAGCACTGAGTCAAAAGGACACAAAACGTTAGAGGGGAAGGTTTGAAAAAGGAAATATTTTTCTATATTTGCATTTACATTTTTAATATAGTCATGTTGTCTAGAGGCCAGATTTGGGGAATGGAAACCAGGAGCCTGGTTTCTATTTTCAGCACAGCCACTGATTGCTCTGTGTTGCTGGCAAATCTTTTAATCTCTTTCC